TTCCATGCTATCCTTCCTCAAGTGTTCACGCCTGAAGCAACAAAATGAATAAATTACCAACTGCTGACCAGGACTGACAATGACTTCACTTCAGCAGTTTATTTCCAGGAAATGTGGTCCTCTCTCTGCTCCGATGGCACTGTGGAGCTGCAGGAGTATACGCTGATTCATGTAGACTGCGATAAACATATTGGCAGCAAAAGAAAAGGGAGGGGATATGTGTTTTAATATCAAACACAAGCGATGCCCAGTCATGCTGACTGAATTGCAGCTTGGCTGTCTCATGCTTGAAACACTGCTTTTTCTCTGCAAGCCATTTAGCTCGCTCTGGGACTTTGCCTCACTCGGTCTTTGCTGCTGTGTACACCCTCCCTCAGGCAAAAGCAAATGGCATGCCATGTCTACTATCAGAATGGATAATAACAATGAAAACCAAACAACCCGGCTCTGCAGTCTTCATTCACAAGGAATGAGTGCCCCTCCCCAACACAGGAGAGAATACAAAATACAGAGGAGCCTCTTTTACTCCACCATTAAAGGTTCATTTCCCTCATTTTCTAAGGTCCTTTGGGGCTGTTAACCAGGGCTCTGATGGTTCCAACATATAATAATGCTTGAAGTCAGACAGACACGTCCTAACTACAGTCGGATAATGGACCCAGACACAGCTGGAGAGTGCAATGACTCTAAAGAATGGGAGTCTCAGGTACCTGCCAATAGTAGTTTAACTACATTGTGCAGTAGCTTGCTGGTAGTTCAATTACATTAATGTTAGCAGAATGATTCAAATAATTTAAATACTTTTTTTCACTATTTTTGTGTAGTTAATTACTGAAACTACAGATAAAAGCCATAAAAGGAGAGGAATGGTTTATTTTTATTTTACCATTGTGGGACCACCTGTTGGATATGAACTTTGAGAGAGTCATGTGTCGTATAAACAAAAGATTCAGCTCTGAGGAGTAAAAACATAAACTTATTGTTTAGGCCAGTGTTCAAAATGTTCACACTGTCTAAAAAAGTGAGAACAATTTTAGTTGCTGTGATTGTACAAGTCAGACGTTACAAAACTGACAAGTGAGACAGGCCCATTTTTTTCAAAGAAATAATTAAGTCATTCAGACTGTCTATAACACAGAATCTTGAATCCAGATTTGTTTACAACATTCTTTGGAGTACTGTCCATGGGAAAAGTCCAGATGGGACTATTTTATTCAGACAGGTTCAGGTGGCATTTTTGCTGGTGTGTGACTTTTTTTGTGTTATATTTTGATACAGTTGTGTATCACATGTACATTGTCAATTTGATCATTGATATACAAAATAGTTTGAACCACAATTTCTAAGTAGTTTTAACTACCGAACAAGATTTTTCCCTAGACTAGCTTTGTTCAACCATTTCTAGTATGAAATATTGGCTGTATAAAATATGGACGTCATGACAATTCCCAGGAGTGACGCCACCGCGACTCTATTGCCACCAGACGAGTCGGTAATTGGTAGCTCGCAAAGTTGTGCTTTGAAAGTAGCTTCTCCAACACTGCCTGCCAACAATTGTCAGTGAATCCAAATGCTGAGCATTATGATGTTGACATTTGAAGCTATAGATTCCTCCAAGCAGTGTGCGAAATATAGGATATTTTCAAATCCATTTGAAATATTTTACCATTGGTTAAATTAGAAAACTTTAGGTGGGATGGTGGAGCAGTGGTTATCAGCAAGAAGGTTTCAGGTCAGAGCCCCAGCTGACCCAAGGCCTTTCTGTGTGGAGTTTGTATGTTCTCCCTGTGCCTGTACGGGTTCTCTCTGGTTACTCCGGCTTCCTCCCACAGTCCAGACATGCATCTTAGGTTGACTGGTGACTCTATAATCACTCCTTAGGAGTGAGTTTGGGTGAGTTAAACTGGTGACTTGTGTCAGCTGGGATCGGCTCCAGCACCCCCACGACCCTCTTCAGGATAATCAGTACAGGTAATGGATGGATGGCTAGAAAACTCTAAATTAAATCCAGATTATAAAAAGCCATTTTGGTAACACTTCATTTTACATGTCCTGTACTTTCTAGCTCATTTTTTAGAAACGTTCCTTGTAATTTAATTAAATAAATAAACAAATAAATAAATAAAGGAGCTGGTATTTACTTTACTTTAGGTTACTATAAGAAAGGCTGTTAGAGAAAGTGTTAGTTGTTGCAGTTATAAAGTATGTCCTGGTTAAATCTGAGGAAAAAAAAAAGTCAACATTCGTTGGCGTTTCCTGGAAAGATCAACGAAAATTTGGATTCTTCATGGCTTTGAATTGCTACACATTATAGATCCATAGCTATGCAATGTACAGTAGTATATTGCAGCAGCAGGGAACCCATCTTGTGGATGGGTGAGGAGGTTAGTTTAAACCAACCTGCTCTGTCTGAAAAAACCTTTCTGTCAGTTAAAAATGGAAAAACTGAAAATTTAATAACCCCAAAACTCAAGTAAAATTTGACCTTCTGGACACAAATGTTTGGGTAAAAATAATTTGGTAGCATGGCCAGTGTACTAAATTATCATCCTCTGATCAACCCAGAGTTCCTTGTTTTGGAGGTTGTTTCATTTCTGGAAAGAGTTGGACTTTGTCCTAGTATGAATAATTCCCTTTTGTAAATCAGTGATTGGGTTTGCTGAAACAATTGTGATCGCTCATTCTCTTTTTGTCCAGTTTAAGTCATCACTGATTTTCCTCACACCCTCCATCTCGCTTTAGACAGACGGTCTCTTCTGGTTCAGGGACGAGGTCCAGCATGTTTTCTGCATGGTGAGTGGCTCATTGGGCGTCTGCAGCCCTCCATCTAGGAGCTGTATGACACCAAGGTGAGAAAAAGGGTAAGAAGGATTGCCAGGGACCCTGTACATCAACTTAACCATCTGTTCCAACCTCTCCATTCTGAGACAGTCTATGATACCCAAACACCACCAGCCCGCACCAAAGTGCTCCTCACAAGATCTATCATTCAAGATAAACACCTGAGTTGCATATGAGTTTAATACAGCAGAATCTGCATGATTTCACAGTACTTACTGTCTGTACAACCTCAGACTTTGCAAACTCTGGTCCATTTTAGTCTCTGAAATGTACATCACAGCCTCCAATGTGCAAAATTCATTTCATGCAAGTCATTCTTTTCAGCGTGACTTATTTTATGGTATACTGGATCCTTGCACTAATGAATACTCATTATATTTCCTCCTAGAGCTATAGCTGTACTGTCTGCAAGACTGCTCAAATGCACATTTTTAATAAGCCCTGGATGTAGAGTTACATACTGTATGTAGTCACATGGTTTTTGAATCTCTCACCTTTTAGAGAGACTTACAGCCTCACCTCCATGACAGGGCCTGTTGACCCTGCACCATCTGTGTGTGGCTGCTTTCTGCATGAAGCATAGTGAGACAGATTCTTTATGACTGGGCTGTGTATAAAATGTTTGAATGGCTGCTCAGTGTCCGATAACTTTTAGTTCACCATGCAGTAACAAAGCTATCAGTGATTAAAGATAATTTGAGAGAGACCGACTCAGTGAATAAAACCAGGCAGCTCAGAATGACTTATGTTTATGTTCAAGCGACAAAGACTCCTAGTGGCCATGTTGGTTTAGACACATGACACTGCTCTTCTTTACCTACTGACAGTTGATCTCTTTGAGCCATGATCAAGATCGTTCCCTAAGCTTAACTTATGATTATTAACACAGTCATGAAGGCTTTTTTAAACTCCGCCCTTTTATTTTTGCTTTTTGTGCTTTTGAAGGCAAAGACAAATTCTGTTGCCCTGTGTTTTGGAGGTCACTGACAAATGATGCATTTTGTCTTTTAACACAGAGTATGATGTGTTCAAACTTTGAAAAAGAAAGATCATAAATCATCATAGATCATAAATAAAACTGTGGGAATATTTCTCCTTGTTTGCATGAGCAATGAAGAGTTTGTTTCATTTGTTCATGTAATGTTTTAGCAATGTTTATTTGTACTTTCATATAATAACCATGATTGTGGTGCTTGTGCATGTGCGTATATATATAGATGTTTCTCCATACCTACACTACCAGTCAAAAGTTTGGACACATGTTCCCATTACATTCGGTGGGAAAGTGTGTCCAAACTTTTGACTGGTAGCGTATGTACCTGTATGTGCTGACTCTGCAGCTATTTTCAACACACTGAAGTCCAATAAAGCACCTAGCAATATGAGCAATATGTGCAATATGTAGGACACACATGGTGTATGGTTGTAGTTCAGTTCCTGGTTAATATTTATAATAAAAATATAAATATTTTTATCTATCTTTGAGTGTCCTTATGTATATATATTTATCTAAGTGAAGGCATGAGACACCTGATTCATTGTTTATATCACACTCATAAGATGTGTTTTTGTACAGTTTTATTCACCTCTGTCAGCACTGATCCTCTGTTTCTCTGTGACTTGCTTAGCTGAGCTGGTGTGCTTCAGCCTCCCTCCTTCCGTTATAATCCCTTCCTTCCTTCCTTCCTTCCTTCCTCTCACCACAGCGATATCCCCCTCATCTTCCTCCTCTTTCATGCCCCAGATAATTTCTCTCCAGTTGCCAAAAGGGGGCAACAAAGCGACACTTTTCACCACCCTCAAACACAAAAAGTCCCCAACAGCAAGCTTGCGTGTTTGTACTTTCTCTCTCTCTCTCTCTCTCTCTCTCTCTCTCACACACACACACACACACACGCACACACCTACAGAACCTTAGCTTCTCTTAATTTTCTTCATTAATCTCTCTTCTGTCACTTAGCCCCTTCCCAATTTTTCAATTTATGCTCATCAATAAAAATCAGTAATGATAAAGTCCAGGATACAAGAGAGGAAGGCAAGAAAAATGCCCCCCCCCCCACACACACTTTCTGGCGTTTGTGTGTGTGTGTGTGTGTGTCGTGGTGCTGAAGGAAGAGCGCCCTTCACATGGGGAGAGAGAGCAACTGAGAGAAGCAGCCAGCTGTCTGCCCCGTTCATTCCTATTGGCGTCTGAAGTTTAACAACATACTCATTTCTTCTTTATCTAGGACAGGAACCTATCTGGCATCAGAAAGTGTACGTGAGGGTGTGAATATCAATTCATTTCATGCACCCCCCTCCCCCTCCCCCGGCTGCTCCGCGCGCTCTCATGGACTCTCTTAAGGCACTTTGGATAAAAGCCACAGCAAGAAATGGCAGATTTTATGTCTCTTATCTGTGCTTCTCTGTGCAGGTGGTGAGATATCTGAGAGAAACGAATGAGGAGAGGAATGATTTATTTCTGCACAACAGAAAAAAGGCATTCGGCCACGGAGCCAAAAGTGGGGTTTCTCTTTTCTAGTTGAATCGCGGGAGCGGGCTCTTTTCTCCACCTTGTTCTTCTCCTCTCCGCATCCTGTCCGTTCTGTAGCTGAAAGCAAGGAGATCCATCTCCCCTCTCCTCCTTTCCCCAGCTCTTCCCATCGGTTTTGGCGGAAAGCCCCCAAAAACGCGGTTCAAGGCTTCGCGGCTTCTCTTCTCCCACTGCTCAAGCGCCGCAGGAAGGATTTCCAAAAGTCTTTTCAAGTGGACCTGTTCGTAGTTATGGCAGTGAAGTGAAGCTTAGGATCGCATCCAGTTAACAGAAGGGAGGTAAAGCACTCTGACCTGTATAGGGACGTTTTACTGGAGAGGAAGAAAAGTAAAGGACGGAGGAAAGAGGAAACGGGGGGGAAAGAAATCGAGAACATGCAGCGTCTCTTATTTCAGGTGGTTTAGGATAAAAAGAGCAAAAATAAAGAGCAGGGACCTTGCCCCGCAACCTTGAATTTTAAATATTCCACTGCAATTTGGTTATAGACTGATTGCTTTTTTATCATCAACTGACTTATTGATTGATTGATTGATTGATTGACTGATTGGCTGTCGGACATTAACATCCGACAAACTTGGACTTGTGTGGGATTTTAAGACGCAAAGCGAGCTCTTCACCCCAGCTGTCCTCTGTTGGCATGAGATGGTGCTTGTCTAACAGCGCCTCTGGGTTGATTAATTGATTAATCAATGTATTGAACCGGTCAAGTAGGACGTTATTGATCGACTATCTTATCATTACGTTTACTTTCCTGCCACTTTCTCTCCATCTTAACATATGAAACAAAGTAACCTGCTATAAAAGTTTTAATAAAGCTTTTAGATATATATCAGTCCATGTTTAAATCCCTTTAGGATTATTACATGAATGTTAACATGTCATAAAAAATCCCACCTGGGTGATGTCGCTACATTAAACCCTGTAAGAATATTGGAAAAGCCGAAAGTACCGTAACCTGCTATAAAATGACTATAAACGTATGACAGCGTCGCTGTATGAGTATTATAAGAGTTTTATAGGGATTATTATAGTACAAGTGCTTCTCGGGATTCAAGTTTGGAGATTGGAAGTTATTTTTGGTTGTGCACAGTATAGGGCGACTCTTCCACACCGGACAGAGACAGAAACAGACTGAGCAGAGAGGTCCACCTACTTGTCTCTGTCTTGCATCCCATCCTGAAAGAAAGGACCGGGACAGACAGACAGACAGCGGAGAGAGAACGAGAGGGAGAGGAAGGGGATGCGTGACTGCGGCTAATTGGACGTTAGCCTTGCAACATTTTGAAGAAGAAGGGAGAGGAAAGTGATTTTGTCCGCAAGAGGTTACAGGTTTTTATAATTTAATTATTTATTTATTTATTCATTGGAAGAGGCTAGAAGAAGACACGACCTCCTTCATCCTTTAGTGTGTCCATCTATCGTTTTTTCCTGCCCTCAGAAGACTTTTGAGTAGGTAAAATCCCCACGAGCGAAGGAGACATTTGGCTGCATCGGTCAGGTCTGAGACAGAAGAAAGAGCCAGAGTGGGATTATTTCACTCACATTTTACAAGATTTTCGTCTGTCCAAGATTCTACAATCAGCGCAGACTGGATTCAGGATTTGTTACTCCGAAAAACCAGGTAAGAGGACATCACGGTCCGATTTTACGCGTGTGCACCCATGTGTGATGAGCTTGCTTCGTGGGCTGTTTGTGTACATGCGGAGAATGAGAGGAAGAAGGAGAGACATTTATATCCTTCAGCCGTGCGCGCCTGGTCCGTGGGTGTTTGCGTTTTTACGCACGAGTGAGAACGAGAGTGAGGGAGAGGGAGAGAGAGAGAGTCGTCTAACAGCATGTGTGTGTGTCCATGTATTAGTGAGAAGCCAAACATCATGGGTGAAAGGCATCCCCTCCAGGGCAGAGCAGGAGCATTCAGCCACAGAATAGGCAGGGAATACACATATGCACGGAACATCTGCACATGTGTATGCATGTGTATAAAATTAGACACACACTTTGCTGGAATAAAAAAAGCCTGAACAAACAGATGAAAGAACAAGCCAACATAAAGTGTCTCAGTGAGGTGCTGGGTCACCATGTGGCACCAGAACAGCTTCAGTGCACCTTGGAATTGACTCTACAAGTCTATAAACTCTACTAGAGGGACAAGCGCCATTCTTCCAAAAGATATTTATTCACATGGTGTTTTGGTGATGGTGGTGGAAATGTTGTCTAACATGTCGCTCCAGAGTCTCCCATAGGTGTTCAGCTGGGGTGAGATCTGGTGACTGTGAAGGCCACAGCATCATTTTCATACTCATCAAGCCATTCAGTGACCCCTCATCCAATGGATGGGTCCACTGGCATCCTGGAAGAGACCATTTATTTTGGTTTTTTGTTTCTTTTGTCACCCGTCTGTATATGCTGCGTGAATTCCCTTCAGCCAGTGATGAACCTTTTGGTGAAAAGGTGCTGTTTTAGTTCCACTGTATAATTTTCCCATTTGTTTAAGTCTTCCTAAACAGAGACCCTATTTGTCTGAGTGCTTTACAGCCCAGCAGGTGCTGTCTCTCCCTTCCTCCCTCTCTGTCTCCCTCTCTCTCTGAAAGTGTACAGAGAAAGAGATTGTATGTGAGTGTTTGTATGTGAGAGAGCAGTGACGCAAAATGTACGTTTATAGAGTAACGGTATGAGAGATGAAGAGTGGATGTGTGTCATCTAATCGTGTGTGTGTGTGTGTGCTACACTACAACAAGAGGACATTCACACACACACACACACACACACCTACACACAAGGCAGAGAGATGTGTGGGATTTAATTATCTGAGCCGTTTAGCAATAAGATGTACATCAATTGTCAGAATTAGGGGCAACTGAGCTCCCATCGGAGGCTGCGGATGTGTTTGTGTGTGTGTGTGTTGATTTATAGTATGAAGCCAGTGTCGTATAGATCTGACCACTTGGTACTGTAGATGGACTGGTAGCAGAATGACTCTGTCACACTGACCAACACCGGCCATTTATTACTGGCATGGGGAGGGGGCTTGTTTACAGCAGGGAAGAGAGAGGAGGAAAAGTTAGAGAAAGAGAGGGCATGTGGTGGAAGACGTGTCTGGACCCCTTACTTATGTAGAACTGCCAATACATTCAAGTAAAATACTCCAGTAAAAGTTAGTCCTGCATTCAAAATCCTATTTCAATAAAAAATAAACAGTGTGCTTAATGTATAACAAGTGAGATCACTTGTTCCGCAGAAATAATGTCCCTTTGTAACTGATAAACTATCATAGGTGGAGCTAATATTTAGCTACACAAGATTGTAGTTTTTTCTTTGGGCTTCTCTTGTGAAAATGTTGAATAATTTGACCTTTTTGGGCCTTGAACATGTAAATGAAACCAACTGAAATGACATCTGAAATGTGAAAAGGTACTGATTAAAAGATTAGCAGTGTGGGAAAGCAGAAAAAAAAACACTTCAGCTTAATATTTTATCACATTTTCTTATCTTCACTCCCTTATTGTGAATTTCTGGATACTTTTATATCTGCAGGCTAATATTTAAATGACAACCTGCAGTGAACTGGCCAGACTGAGTGAACTGACCAGATGCCCAGATAGGGTGTGTCTCATGTCCTATATCAGCTCTGACGAGTGAGGAGGCTGCTGGAGGAGCCGTGAATAAGGATAGATGAGAGCATCCTTTGCAGAAGTTTTTTTATTTTAATAATCTGACACGCCCATTTATTTGAAATCAATTGGTGATTGGACATTTCAGATGAAGGATCGGAGGAAATACAGCTCATGTCATCAATAATGTGTTACCTTGATTCCTCTCTCCTCTCATGCTTTCCTTGCATTTTAAGGAAAAGATGTGAGTGAGGGACAGCAATCCGCCAGATGGATAACAGATGGGATAAAAGCAGGAGAGCTCACAATCCAAAGGACAGAAATTTGAGAAACAAGAGAAGATTGGGGATGTAGGGAGCAAAGGAACAGGGAGGTTAAAAGTAAAAAAAAAAGCACAGTGAGCAGTTAGACTAGTAGAGGAAGAGGAGAAGAGATATAGTGAATTGAGAGGGGAGGATAGATTTAGAGACATGAGGACAGGAGAGAGGAGAGAGAGATCCATAAATTGTGGAAGGAATGATGGAGCATGAGAGGAGAAAGACTGGACGAGATGACAGCAGGATGAATGAGTGAGAAAGAAGAAGAGAGAGTGTGGGAGGATGCTATTGAAATGCCATAAGCTGCATTACTGAAATATTGTTGAATCAGCCTGTTTACACAAATTATTCTTACTGTGGCCTGGTTTATAGAATAAACTGAAGAACTGATGATTTAAAACCTCACAAACCCACTTCAAATGGTTTCCTAAGCAGCAGCGAGGAAGAATTGCATTCAAGGCAAAGATGAACTCACAGCTCTCGCCTACTGGCATTTACCTCCGCAAAACCCACCATTGTGCAGCTTTAGCTGAACCCTTACAGAATCCCAGAGTCGCCTGAGAAATAAAAATTTAGCCACGAGATCCATTTATTAGCTGTTCTGGAGCTTTAGGTCATGTTGCTTGATCTTCCACAGCAGATGGTGTTTTGTGTAGAATAGATGTTCATATATCGTCTTTTTTGGCTCAGAAAAAATGGAAATTTCACAAATGTCAGTTCTAAACCACATCCACTGAGGAAGATCATGTGATATGATCAAACACTGCAACTTCCAAGGTCAATAAAGAACTTCATTCACAGTTTTGCATGCATTACAAAATACACCAAAGTACTCTACAAACTCTGGAGCTGACATCTGACACTCCCATAACTGTTTCATGTCCACAGTTAGTAAGCTAAAATCTATTAACACCAATTGCAGAATCTACAGTTATGTGCAGTGTTTTCTTCAGTCTCCAAACCCAGTTTTTTTTGGATCTCTGTGGTTTTCCGAGGCTCTGATGATCCCTTTTCTGTTAGAGACCTCTGATCAGTCATATGCCGCCTGGCACGTGTGATACTTTTCTGACTTGTTTTGTTGCAAAATTTCAAAGACTGATTTTGATCAAAGTGATGCTTTGCAATGTAGGGATCCTTACGTGCCTGTGAAACTCCAGGATAATTTAATGCCATCTATGCTGAAATGATCAAAGAGTCTTTAGGTGTGCCATTTGAAAGAACTTGCTCAATGGCATTTTGGCAGAGACAGAAATGCATTCAGCCTGGTGGTTAATTGCACATTGAATATCTAGAAAACAGAAAGCACATTTTATCAAGGCTGACTAGAAATGACAAGGTTATGCAAGTCAAGCCTAATTTACAGTGGTGTGAAAAAGTGTTTGCCCCCTTACTGATTTCTTATCTTTTTGCATGTTTGTCACACTGTAATGTTTCAGATCGTCAAACAAATTTATATATTAGTCAAAGATAACACAAGTAAACACATCATGCAGTTTTTAAATGAAGGTTTTTATTATTAAGGGAAAACAAAATCCAAAACTATAGAGCCCTGTGTGAACAAGTGTTTGCCCCCCTGTCAAAACACTGGTTTATCGCACCTGAGTTCAATTTCTCTTGCCACACCTGTTCGCAATCAAGAAATCACTTAAATAGGACCTGCCTGACAAAGTGAAGTAGACCAAAAGATCCTCAAAAGCTAGACATCATGCCGAGATCCAAAGAAATTCAAAAACAAATGAGAAAGAGAATAATGGAGCTCTATCAGTCCGGAAAAGGTTATAAAGCCATTTCTAAAGCTTGGGGACTGCAGATAAGAAATCAGTAAGGGGGCAAACACTTTTTCACACCACTGTACTTTTAAGCTGTGTGTGTTATTAGGTGTTTTACAAGAGTGTATATGCAGTAAATTAACAGTGCTGTGGTGTCAGGAACACTGGGCTCTGAGGACAGCAGGATGCTCTTGTCAGTGTTGGGCAAGCAGTTGTAAGGTTCAGAAGAGCAAGTGTGTAATGCTGAGTTAATTCATATGTTTAGATGAAGTTTAAAAGAATATATTTGCAATGTTTACACAGAGAAGAGAAAGAAGGAGAAAACCCCCCATGTTTCCCAACATTGCTTAATTTTCATATGTAATTTTAGTATTTTAGAAATGTTCTTGTGGCACTGCTCTGTTTTGACTATTGTATATATGAATGTTTTGTGTTTTTATCTTGTGCCCCAGAATGTAAGCTAGTTTTCCCAGCTGGGATAATAAAATGACTGAACTGAAAGAGACTATTAATAATTTACTTATAAGGGATATAAGTTAATAATTTACATATTTACAAGTAGAAGTATTTTGAACATCAACTTTAAAATGGTTTAATTGTGGATTTCCTTGCATTTATCTTAGTGTAAGTCCTCCTAGTATCTGATTGGTCTGGACAGTGACATGTGAGTTAGGAACAAGAAAGTTTTGTTGTAAGCTGAAGAAGCATGGCAAGGTCAACAGACCTGCTCTAGAAATCAGAATCAGCTTTATTGGCCACGTGTGTTGGACACACCAGGAATCTGACTCTGGTACAGCAGCTCTCAGTGCATATGTGCATGGCCTTATGTAAGGCAGCAGTGGGCAAATAACCAATATAAAGCTGAGAACAGAAGTAAAGAAGTAATGTGCAATCAAGCAAAAGAATGAGCCTTAGGAGTAAAAA